GAACATTTTACTATTGATAAAATATCATTTTTATTGTATCATCACTAATTTTCAGTTGCACTAAGTGTGAAATATCTCTTCATTCAATTACACATTCCTACAATGATTATTCCTTTTATAAACAATATATAAATTTCTTTATTTATGACAATCATTAAACTTGTACCATCGAATCAATCATACAACTTTTACATATTTTCCTCATTGTTAACCAACAGTTTTACTTATCTCTCCAAGTTCTCAGTTTAATATCGAAGTTCAAATGCTTCAACATCATTTCTAATTGAGGACATTTAAAAACGGCATAAATGTATGTCAAACAAATCTTAAAACATGAGAGATGAGTATGTGTCAGTTAAACAAAAAAAGATACTTGTACCTTTTTGAACAACATCCAAATGATGATACTTCAAAATTCAATAATCATTCATGATATATCCGATTAAATTAACCAAACGGCAGACATGCAATCTATTCATAAAAAAAGAACAAGAAGAACTTATATCAAAATCTAATAAATACTTATTGAAGATTTCTACAAAGATTTTAATAACAAAAAAATGTATTCGGTAAACAATCTTCTTCTGCACTTCTAATTGTGTATTTCCATTTCTATCTTTACTTGCAAAAAAAATGAGACTAAGTTTAAATGACATGTTGAGTTGTAACACAATTAAGTATGACACTGTTTCGTCAATTTTTACATTGAAATATAAAAATATTATTGAATTCTCTTGAAAGAGTCAATAACTACCATAGTTATTCTTTAAATACTATCAACGTAAAAGAAAGATAATTTTTAGTTTGACACATTTATAAGTTTTCTCATGAAGTTCACAGTAATGTACCGATCAGTGAGACAACTGAATAAACAAAGAGATAGAGAACAAACTGAAGTCAATAGGTGACTAAACTGCTCGTTTACGCTACAAATATGAATGTATCACTATTTTTTTTCGGTTGCGATAATGAATATAAGACAATGAAAGCTTCTTCTTATTTTACTCAAAGAAGAAGACCATTACAACTACAACTGCATATTCAAACTAAAGTTTTCCAACA